AAATTCACCAAAAAATGTTCTCAACTATATTTCTTATGGAACTGTTTAAGAAAACGCGTGAAATATAAAATGAACCTTGATTTATATTTTAGGGTTAAATTCAGAACTGTATTACAAAAGTTTCAGTGTCTTTGAATCCGACACTTTATACGTAACTTTAACATTCTTCCAAAAGCAGTAAATACATCCCCTAACGCCAAATGTTAATAGTTTTATTAATTGGCGCATCTCTCCTTTGGCATTTATTGCGTGAGGCCAAATTTCTTTAGGCAAAATACTGCGTTAGGATGGATTGTTTCATTTCAGGAACAATAAATGCAAAAGAAAATAATCATACTATTGCCTGTAATGTAGTGCAGGTTTCAGAAAAGTTTATATTACAAGAACTTGCAAAATTTTGGGAGTTGGAATAGGTGCCTAATATTTGTGTGTGGTCAAAAAAATTTCATTGTGCGAAGATCATTTTAAATCTACGTACAAAAGTGATACTTCAGAACAATTTATAGTAGGAATTCCCTTTAAGGAGTGTACAACACAACATTTAGGAAACTCTAAAAAACATGCATTAAAAATGTTTCACTGTTTAGAAAGAAGGTTCAAGAGACACCTTAATTTACAAAAGAAATCTAATGAATTTATTCAAGAATATATTCAATTAGGTCATATGACATTACATACGGCAGACCCCTTTACTCCAAATTATTATTTACTACATCATGGAATAATTTGGCAACAAAACTGCGTGTAGTTTTCAACGCATCTGCACCAACTTCATCTGGTAAGTCACTAAATTATTTACAAAAATGGTTGGACCAACAGCTATTCAATCAGAGCTATTTTCCATTGTAATTCGTCTAATAGTTATTTACATAAAAGTCAGGAAAATGTCACATTGCTGGCGAGGAAATATTGAAGTACGAGGACTACTTTAACTTCCGAGTCAAGTGATGTCATTTTAATGACGAGTTTTGTATTAAATTTTACCCGAAATCGTGTTTTAATATAACAGTTCAATTTTTATATGGAACTTTTGATTCATGCCAATCTGTCAGTGATGACAGAAGTCATTATAGACATTTAGAAATGTCACAGATGCGGTCGGTAAAGTCACAAGCGCCAGGAACGTGGTCTGTTCTGCCTCTGTCATGGAAACCAAAATTTTCTGACAGAAAGTAGGCATGAAAGTGAAGGTTTCAGGACGATTTTGGGTAAAAAAAATGAATATGGCAGATACTTGTTGATAGAGATAGGCAATTCCAATTAGTATTCTGGAGGGAAAATCCAAAAACACGGTATTTGCATCAACATTTTGTCAGTTATGGGTTCTTTCGCAACAATTTTGAGGTTAAGTGATAGAGCGGAGAAGAGCAGTCTTTGAGTATTGCTCTTCAACCGAACTTCGCATTTGGGGTTGCAGTCTATTGTAGTGGCGTACGTAGAAATGTATTCTGGGAGGGGGGGATTAAACAAGTTCGTGGCACATACAGTCACCCAGGAAATTGGGTTGCAGGTTGCTGATGCTGGTAGTCATTTATCTATTTATTATTGTACAGGCGAAAAAGATTAGATTATAGAACGGTATTTTATTTCTTACTGCTGACAGGCCCCTTTATTGCTTTTGCTTTAATTAGTCAACGTGCGTAGAATCCAAAACGATTCGTACTTTTTCGATTAGACGTCTCCATCAAAAGTTATGGGCAAAAAACCAATTTCGACAAAAAATTCAAAGGGCTGTAACGATCTTGGAACTGTTTGGAATTATGGATTCTACAGGCCACGTTCTATAAGAAAATATTTTTTTCCGGGTCGATCTGAGACAATTTTTTCTTCGCGCCTCAAAAAAAGGCAGTGTATAACCTTCCTTTTTTACCAAAAATCGACTGCATCAAAATTTCTCAAGAACACATTTTCTTATTAATTTTGGTGCGTAGAATCCAAAACAATTCGTACTTTTTCGATCAGACTTCTCAATAAAAAGATAGACTAGAAACCAATGTCGAAAAAAAATTCAAAGGGCTGTAACTTTTGATCTAGTAGCCCAATCTTGGAACTGTTTGAAATTATCGAATCTACAGGCCATATTCTATAAGAAAATGTTTTTTTTCCGGTCGATCTGAGACAATTTTTTTTCGGGCCTCAAAAAAAGGCAGATTATTACCTTCCTTTTTTACCAAAAATCGACTACACCAAAATTTCTCGGGAAAACACTTTTTCTTATTAATTTTGGTGCGTAGAATCCAAAACGATTCGTACTTTTTCGATTAGACTTCTCAATCACAAGTTATGAACTAAAAACAAATTTCAAAAAAAAATTCAAAGGGCTGTAAGTTTTGATCTAGTAACCCAATCTTGGAACTGTTTGAAATTATGGAATCTACAGGCCTTATTCTATAAGAAAATGTTTTTTTTCCGGTCGATCTGAGACATTTTTTTTTTTGGGCAAAAAAAGGCAGTTTATTACCTTCCCTTTTTACCAAAAATCGACTGCACCAAAATTTCTCGGGAAAAAACTTTTCCTTATTAATTTGGGTGCGTAGAATCCAAAACGATTCGTACTTTTTCGATTAGATGTTCTCAATCAAAAGTTATGGGCAAAAAAATTCCTGTTTTTAAAATTTAAAATTCTTATTTTCGTCATTTCGTGAAAGGCAGGACGCAGGTACCTCATCTCAGTAGCAGTACTAAGTACCTGATACCTATTTGTTATTTTGGGCATCAATGTAGCGAAATGCCGATCGATGCCGAATAGCCAAATCGTTGACTGCCAACACTGATCACTCACTGAATAGTGAATACTGAATACTACAGAATATTTAGATTTTGGTTAGACTTTAACCAAAACCAAAATTGCTCTCTATATATACCTATATATTATTGCCTTTATTTTAAAGTGGGCGGAGCGGATAGCGGAGTATTACCTAAATACCTAATAGCTATGATGATAACTCAATTCTTCTGGGGGGGGGGATATATCTCCTTCATCTCCCCCCGTAAATACGCCACTAGTCTATTGCATATACGGACATCTGCATCATTTAAATTGTATAAATAGGTACTACCTAATCTAATTGGTACCTTCTTATATATGATTACATGGTGTAATATTACATCTACTAATTATTTTAGCATTTTCTAGCACTGTTGGAGTTCGGTGCAATATTGAAAACAAGATCTAAAGACATTGCATGGATAAGTTTCGTTTAATAAGTAAGTATTTTATTTTATTTTAACCCTTCACACATTGAACTCTCTACTGACTGCATTTCGAAGATTTGCATCTAAAAGGAAAAAACTTCATAACAATGGTAGTAATTTTATAGGAGAAAATAATGACTTAAAAACTATGTTTGAATTTCTGAATAAAAATATACAAAGGAATTCAAAAAGTCTTTAATGTATGAAGGGATTAACTGACATTTTTCCCCAACTTCGTCACCGCATTTCAATGGCCTAGCAGAAGCAGGTGTAAAATCAACTAAATTTCATCTAAAACGGGTTTTGTTTTAGGCGATGCATTACTTATATATGAAGAGTATTTAACAGGAATTGTTGAAATAAATGTTTACTTAACTCTCGTCCTCTTTACCCGCTTTCTTCTTCCCCTAATTACTGTCAGGCACTAACTACTTTTCATTTAATTATTGGTCGTCGACTTACCATCATGCCGAATACCGACTTCGTGGAGATCCCCACTAATCGATTGTCCAGATGGCAATATTTATCAAAGACATAACAAGAATTTTGGAATCGCTGGTCAAGAGCCAGAGAGTACGTAATTTGTGTCCACTGCTTAATGAAGACGGCTATAGTGGTGTACTTAGGTACATTTAGACATGCAAAATCTAGTAATATTGTTTTTAAAGTTACTATAGCAATTATAAACAGTTTGAATTCGTGAATATTGTCAAATATATTAATACTAAACTTATTTTGAGATTTTTCTGATTTATAATTGCACGAAAGAACAATCGCTACATAACTACATTTGACGTATTTATTGTCCGACCACAACTAGAGGATTTGTCCATTTATATTTATTGCTGTATCGTTATTTCTAACTTTACGCGGGCCTCAACGTCTGAAATGCTTTGAATGACTCCGAAGAGGCTTTCAAATTATAATCTGAAAGTCTGGAAAGTGCTGTCCAGATTCTTACAAGTGCTTTTAGAGCCTTGTAACATTTCCGCAATGCCCTCAGAGCTATCCAAAACAGTGGAAATGCTTTCTAAGAGTGCCCGAATAATTTTCGACAATTTTCTAGATCCTTTCAAAACTAACACAGCCTATCTAGAGCGTTGCCTTGGCAGAGTCCTCCCAGAGAACGTTTCAGTACAAACTATTATGGAGCACAGAGATGTCACACATGTATTTTAACCAAATGGATATTCTTTGGCCTACTTCAAACCGAGCACACCAATCTGCCATAAGATTTACATAGCCCTACTACCTGTACTGAAAAGTTGCCGTGAAATAGCTACAGAAAGGCCCTAGGGGGATGTCTAAAGTGCAGGAAGAACCCAGAAATGTTTAGAAATCACCCCAGAAGACAATTCGTCTCTAGAATTCATTCAGCCGAAGTATCTGTAAGTAGTTGAAACTAATTCAGAGAAATTATATCATATACCGAAGAATTTTTCGTGCTGTCCGTAACACTAGTTAAAGTCAATGATATCAACAGCTCGGATTTTCTTATTGTAAACAACTCAAATGTGGCGCACATGTGATTAAAACTAAGTAGTCCAATGTTTAAAGAGAAGTTTATCTCTAAAACTTCATAGACGCTATTTTTGTTGGCAAACACGAATGCAACAAAACTCGGTAGTTGTTAAATTTGATTCTACAGATAGGATCACCTTCTGAATATGAAGGCAAATCCGTGCCAAAAAAGCTTCCGTCTTTTAACATGGTAATTTATTCTCGGAAAAAGAGAAAAATACCACTACACAAGTTAGAGATAAGTGTTATGTAAATGTCAATCTGTCAAGAGACGTCTTTCTTACCTTGAAAATTCGTGGGTAAGAAGCTTAAGTCGCGATCTACAGCGAGCAGCTTCTTGAAGTGCCTGTTTAGCACGGGCTTCACTATCGGCCCTAAGTCGACGTTCTCTGTCTGCATCCCTTTGCGCGGATTCCCTCTGGAAAAAAAACCACAAGTCAGCAACAAATCTTATTTAAAAAGGATTTATGTATACTTCCACCTAATTATTTTCCCATTCTCATACTATATGAAAACACTAAAGGGCGAGGAACGCGTCGTCTGGAGCAGCAGACAGTCACATTCGATCGGCTAAATGTTTTCATTTAATCCCGCATTTTGTGATCATTTAATTACGGGCAGTTACTGTTTGTATCAATTGAGCTACAGGGCGATCCGTCTTATTCGACTTCATTATTTAATTATACGTGAAACGTTGATATAGGGTGTCTTATCGAGTTAACGGCCGAATGGATTTATTCCATTCCCATCCTGTAACTCCCGCGTTTACATGTAATGGAATAATAATAGTAAAACGATACGTAAAGACCACTGCGATGCTCTTATCATTTTCCTTTTGTGTCTGGTTCGCTTTTCAAACTTCCACTCGCAATTACATAGTACCTTTTCACATTTTGTCTAGGTACGTAAATTTCGTTTCTCGTGTTCAGACATTATACTCGTATAACAATGAATCTTTGAATTAGCATATAAGATAGCTCGAGGGTAAATTTTCCAAATCGTTCGCTAAATCCGGGGGTAGCGCTGACGCGGTGGCCTTCGGGGCAAAGTTCCAAAAGTACACTGCGGTAGATTTTTCGCATTTTAATTTCATAGACCGTTTATTCTCCAGACCTTGAATACACAGGGGTTTTCGATTTGAAGTTCTACAGATTGTATTTAATTTCGGAGGGCAGGTAGATATTTGTACAATGCTCCAGACTGAATTACAATTTTCTCTCTGAGTAAACATACGTTTCATTTCCATTGGATTCGAGGTGCTTACACCAAAGGCTGTCCTATCTTTACCTAAGCATAATACAGATAACGTTACAATGAAAAAGTCTCTTTTATTTTTGAAAATTAAACCCGTCAAAAAATCGAATGCGGCAACTTTCGTATTATTGAAGAGGAAATTTAGATTAAATGCGTAATTCTTTGCAGTTTCCTTGGCAGAATAAAAATGCGTTTCAAATTCGGGAGCGATTAAAAAGTATTTAAAGACTAAAAACCATTGAAAAAAGGAAACAAGGGGTAGAAATTTTAAAAAAAATGTCGCAAAGAAGGGATTTAAAAACCTACACAAAACTGTTAGTTCTATTCTTTTATCTGAATGAATTGAAGAAACATTTTGGCTTTAATTTATTTGGAAAAATGTGTGTGCGACCACCGTCTTTGCACTTATTTTCCTTTGTGCAAATAATAGTAATAATAGTACAAATAAGTAGTCCGTTATACATGAACTTTCGGGAAGTACTGACCAATTAATAGAAAATGCGCTAAAGTTATTCGCCTTAAAGCAAAAACCTTTTTTGATTTTTTGGTGAAGCATAAAAATGTAAAAGTACGCGGCACTTGAGCCCAAAAAGCGCATCGCATTGCTTGGTGCACTGCCCCTCCCCCCTAGCGTCTTGTGGAATTTGTCCCCAAGTAAATTCGCCTCCGGAATTTTCCGCGACAAAGAAATTACTGACTTGTGAGCTTATCAGAAATAGGCACCAATTTTTTGACGCGAAATTTGCCTAGGGGCGAATTTCGAAGAGGAATATTATATCAAGGAGACTATTAATAACGAACTCGCCTGGGGAAATAATTGCGATTAATTTATATATGTCACATAAGCGAATATATTTTCCAAAAAATAAAGGATTAAGCCCTTCTCAAGCCTTTCACAAAAAACCAACAGAAACCTTCTTCCATCCGAAATTAGATTAAAGCACTGTATAAGAAATGTCAATTAAGGCTGGGATACTTCAATGTATTTTTTACATATGATTTTCAAATTAGGCCAGCTCCTAAACGAATGCAACAATCGCGGAGATTTTTTAGGACGTGTAAGATATATATTCAACTTAAGTCTGGGTATACATTAAAACTTAAGTTTGAAGTAAAGAGTAAAATTTGAAATTTGAATATATACATGTACCTATGCCCAAACGGCCAGACCTAAGTTGAACACAGTATTGTCTTATTCTGTCTGTCTGCTATTAATTACAATTATGCATACGCAACGTCTTCTTTTTTTATGTACTTATACTTCCTCATGACCGGAAAAAAATGCATCGTAGGTATTTATTTGTGCAAGTCTACTAAAATAGAATAACCATGAGTTTTGTTTTATATTTTATGTAGTACAGGAATGAATCGATTAACTTAAAATTTGGACAGTAGGTGGGGAATATCCTAAGGATCAAAATGTATATTATGAAAGGGTACTTTCAACCCTAGGGAGTGGTTGCACCCCATCTCTCTCTGAGATTGAATTGTTTATTATAACTTAATTACAATAGATAGAAAAATTAATTTTAATCACAAAGTGCTCTATAATTTTTTTAGTGCACTTTCAAAAAATAAAAAGTGCACCTTTGCGCTCTTGATGTCTGTCTGTCTGTGAGTCACAAAGGCTACGGAACTACACCACATACACTCGTACAGATTTGGTATTGGTGTCATTCGATCAGAAATTATTTCACGTTTGTATTCTCGTTAAGGCATGAAATGTCCATAAGGGCTATCAAAATCGAAAAATAGTATATTAAGATACAAGTGTATAATCAAGTCTTTAAAGCACGCGCAACGAGTTTAAGGGCACGACGCAAAGCGGAGTGCCTTTAACGTTGCAAGTGCTTTAAAGACCAATTATACACGTGTATCTTATAGTATTTTTTATTATACCTGCAGTATAATTCCATACTTCCTTCAGTTTTAATCTAAATGAAGAGCAATTAAATTCAATTATAAATAAAGCAGTAAATTCTGCGTTAAAGGCATTCAGTAATGAAATTGTAAAACCACTTCAAGTGGAGTTAAGTGCTATCAAAAATCAAAATGATTTTTTGATCAAGCAACTAAAGCTTCTTGGCAATGAGATGATCGGTAGCGAAGTTACATCAAGCAAAAAGGTAAATTTTTCTGATGTGCTAAAAAGTGATTTCGTTAAAGCGAAACCTAAATCTAATCAAGTCGTTAAAGGCGATGCAGATAATAGCAACACACGGGCCGGTAATAACACCAGCTCAGAGGAAATTCCTAGAAGTAAACTTCATAAACTGGATAACCTTCAATGCGACACATTGAAGGAAATAATTCACTTAAATAGCGACTTACAAACCAAGTCCGATATTGTAGCGAAGGACCCTCCGAAGATTATTTCTGAGGACGGCTGGCAGCAACAAAAAACAAAAAAGCGTCGTGTAGCAGCTCCACTTGCCACTGGAACATCCCTTTCAAGTTGTGCCCTTAAAGGCGTTGTAAAAAAACTGCATTATCATGTAGCACGATTGCATCCTAATACAGATATTAATCATCTTAAAGATCATTTAGCCAATAATGACATATTGAATGTCGATATTGAAAAACTAGCATCCAAGCACCCAGAATCTTATTCTTCATTTAGAATATCAATCCCTCCGGAATATAAGGAAAAGTTCTTACTGCCAACGAACTGGCCTGCTGGAATATGCATCAATCGTTTTTTTTGGAACACCCTAAAAACAAAGCCAAAGGAATAACCCTTAAGTTGCTTCATATGAACATACAGTGTTTGCGGAACAAATTTAATGTGCTTGAAGCGTATTTAAATGAGAGTGAGTATGACGTCGTTGTAATTAGTGAGCATTGGCTCCTTAAACATGAACTAGAGAACGGCCTGTCAATAGGTCCATGGGGTTTGTCTACCGCGTTTTATAGAACTGAGTTGGTGCATGGAGGTGTATTAATTCTAACTAAAGTTCAAACTGTGTGCAAACCCTTGGTGGACATTAATTCATTAGCAGTGGAATTGCACTGTGAGATTACTGCATGTGTGTTAACCGACTTTAATATAGTAGTGGTAGCTGTTTATAGGTCTCCACTGGGGGACTTTGAAACATTTATTGCAACTTTTGAAAATGTTCTATCGGAACTGATAAAATTTAAAAACGTCATCATATGTGGTGACTTCAACGTTCGTTTCAATACTCGAGATACAAAAACAAATCAATTTTGTAATTTGTATACTTCTTTTGGTTTTTTTCAGACAATTTTACATCCAACCCGAAATGGCAACTGTTTAGATAATATTTTAGTAAACTTTTCCATAGATAATTTTATTGCCAATAACGTAGCTACTCATATGTCTGACCATTTGGGTCAGTATATCTCAATCACTTGTAATCAAAATTTGCCCGGACGTAGACAAAAAATATTTCGACCCATTACCCGAGAAGGGCAAGCGTCGATATTCTTAATCTTAAGTAGCAGTAGTTGGGATTACCTAAACAGTAACTACTTGGATGCCAATATGAAATTTACCATATTTTTTCATCACTTTTATGACGCTTTTAAGGCAGCTTTTCCCAAAAAAGTTATTAGCCTGAATAATAAAAGAACCCAAATCAAATGGTTTACTCGCGACCTTAAACAAATGAAACAAACTTATGAGTTAGTTTGTGAAATGTATTTAAATTATAGATCTGAAAATCTTTTGAGGTTGAAACGAAACTGTTATACATCTTATAAAAAAGCTATAAAAAGGGCTAAAATCTCTGCACATAGTGACGCAATTAAATCGTCGTCTAATCCAATAGGTACTATGTGGAGTATTATTAATTCCCACAGACGTTCATCAACACAAGTTTGTTACAATATTACGGCAAATGAGTTTAACCATCACTTTTCTAGAGATTCCTATGATATGAATGTTTTGCCAACTTCTAACCTTAATCCAATTGAGATTTGTACTATCGACAATCGTAATCCAAAATTTAGTTTCGATTTAGTGTCACCTGTTGAAGTTCGAAAAATTCTAATGTCTTTAAAGAATAGCAATACGAAAGATTCCTTTGGCATAAGTGTTAACTTGATCAAATATCTCCCCTCTATTTAAGTTAATAGACTCAGCTCTTAGTGAAGGCGTGTTTCCCGATTTGTTAAAAATGGCGGTAGTCGTACCAATATACA